TCTTTCCCTTGCAGTTACAAACTGCTGCGCCTGAAGAGTAGTGTAAATCTAAGGCGTTGCAGATTTGGAGCCCAGAGGAAAGTGGCAAGGCCGTTTGGGGGAAACGCCTCGGCAGTACCCTTTGAGGCCTCGGTTTCCCCTACCGGACACAACGTTAGCCCACAGTGGAATTTTTTAGTTTCTAAATTCAGAATTGGTTCTTAACCTCCAGGATACCAGTATTAAAGACAGACATGTTTTAGAACTGCCATCTAGAACAATTGCAACTCGTCTTTGTAGCATAACATGTCTTTGTCTTGGCGCTTTAATGCTTTCCTTTCTTACACTGGTGTTCCTTCCTGTCTTTTTTTCTTCTTCTGCTCCTTTCCTTCTTTTCCTCTTTTTCTGCCTTCCCTCCTTTCTGTCTCCTAGATCTGAAAGATTTTCAGAACAATAAGCATAGGTACTTGCTAGCCTCTGAGAATCAACGCCCTGGCAATTTTCCCACAGCGTCCATGGGGTCCCTTACTTCATCTTCATCTTCCTGCTCACTCAATAGTCAGGTGGGCTTAACATCTGTGACCAGTATTCAGGAGAGGATCATGTCTACCCCCGGAGGAGAGGAAGCCATCGAACGTCTGAAGGTAAGCAATAGTTCAGACTGAATGAACGATAGTCTCTGTAGTTCCACAAGGCAAAATGAGGAATGGAAATCACTTGAGATTTTGGTTCAGCATGTGGAAGAACTTTCTAACTTTTAGAGATATCTTAAAAACAGAATTTGCTGCTTAATGAGATAATTGATAATTTTTCACCATAATGTTTGAGTCTGACATGGCCAGGCAGAATGGGAGAGATGGGTGGGCCCATCGATCATAGGTTGGCCACGCAGAATAACTGATACTCATCTGTCAGTTCTGAGGTAGTTATAAATAGTCACAGGGAACTCGTTTAGTTAGAGATAGTTGGAAACTAATTAGTTGGAAACATTTAGTATCGTTGGAAGATGGACTTTTGTATAAAGTCATGCATTTATTTGGTAAATTAAATATACAATGAAAAGAAAGTTTGAACATTCGAGTAGCTGTATCAGATTTATTCAGAGACACGTGAAATGATATCTTCTGGAAGTTCATAGAAAGCCCTGGAACCCTATGATCACTGCTGTGGAAGGTCTGTCTCCTTCTGTACTGGTGCACTTGGGCCACAGGCCTTAGTGCTGTGTGCTTGTGTCCCGCACGTGCAGGTCAGCTGCCATGGTGCCCAGCTTTGCTTTCCCAGCCTGTTGCTGGCTCAGTCGGGTACTCTTTTGTCTCTCTACATGAACGTGAAAGTTAGAGCAGCAGAGCTTTCTGACTCAGAGGTTCTTCCTTCCCCCTCAATGACCACGTGAGAGCCGGCAGTCAGGCAGTGTCACCTGTGGTGCCATCCATCAAATCATGGTGACAGCATCACAGATGCTTTTTCTTTCCTTACTTGTCAACTCCAGGATGACAGTTTGATCCATATCTTTTGGCCTTTGTATTCAAGAGTGCCTGGGTAGGGAAAACAGGGAGGGCAGAGAAACCGGGGAAGGAGCTGGGAAGTTGGTCCTGTTGCCAGCTAGCAGTCAGTCCTCTCGGGTGCACTCAGCATTCTCCACGACTGTTGTTCATTCAGAGACTGGTGAGAACAGTGACGCACTCTGACATTCACGACTGGAAAGGTTTGCCGAGCCTGCCTTCTCACCACTAAGAGGGAATTAAAGTTCATAATCGAAGATGGCAGATGCTTTCATTGTGGTTTTCAGATGAGGCTGGAAAAGATTTTATATGAAAAATGAGCTTCCGCTTCTTAACCAGCCTAATTTTCCGTTGGTATTTTACTCACTTTTAAAGTAAGGTGCTTCGGAAACAAAAGAAATCATCGTACTTCTTCCTTCAGAACGTGTTAGTGGAAAGTGGGTTAAGTTCTGAAGTACCTGGTAAAGGGAGAGGGAAGGAGAAATCTTTTCGTGTTGCAAATCCAGGGGCCATTTCTGCTGTCATAAAATTGGCTCTGAAGTTTTACTAAAGACGTTAGTGACAGCTGTATTGGAGGGCTTTATTCATGTGTTTTATCACAGCAGGCATCAGTGACAAAGCTACTGTGCAGGGTTCTTTCTGTTCAGGCCACTGTGGGAAATGCAGGGGCTCCACGGGAAGGAAAGGAGATCCCCTGCTTACCATTTAATAGAAAATGTTTTTTTTTTCCTCTGGGGATTTTGAATCTTAATAACTGCTTATTAAAGCTTTACTGTACAAATGATATTATACTTTCCTTTAACATACATCTTGGTGTAAAAGAGTGAATTCTTCCTAACTGCCAAGTGGGAGCAACTGAAAATCATGTTGAATGTTGGGGAATCAAGACATTAGCCAGACGGTAAGAATTAGGTCATCCAGTGTCTTCCAGATAGTTTCTAGGGAATAATAACATGGCCATTATTCGGGGAACTCACCCCCAGCAGCCCTCCCCCAGCCTCCCTCCCTTCCACCGAAACAAAATACAACTGTATTATTTTCATCAGAAAAAATTTCTCTGTCTTAAATCTTTTTTTAAGCCAACAACATAAGTGAAAGCGTCCATTTTCCCTCGCTTTAGGAAATAGCTTCTTTATGGTCTCACATTCAGTCTTGAGTTTTTAATGCAGCTGGTAGTTCACTGAAGGGAGCATCAGCAGCTCAGTTCTCTTTGTGAATGGCGAGAATCCCGTTCTGGCAGACCTGCATTTTAATGCCGCAGGCAGATCACAGCTCGCACCCACTGTGCAAAGCAGTGCTTGTATCATTACAAACGCTTGAGAATTTCACAGTTTTGAATTGTCTCGTTGTTGAGTGTGAAGCAGCTGCGTTCCTAAGACATGACACTGTAGGGGAAAAACACTGTAATGGAAAACAGTCCTAGAGGTCAGTTCTTTTTCCTAAGTAACGCTGTTTTTCTTTGCTTCTTTTTATTTTTGACTTTTAAAAAATGATCAGATCTACGTTATCTTGAGCCCCTCTCTGACAAAAGAGAGCAACGTGTAATTGCTTTCAGTTTGAGTTCCAACTCAAACTGAGATGAAATAGATGTATCTTTGATTTGGATTCCTATTCAGTAAGGTTTTTAAAATGTAGCTATAGCTACTGAGTGGCGGCTCTGGTGTTTATTAGTCTGGCGTCAGAGTCAGCACTGCGAGTCGGCTGAGGCTTAGACTATAAATATCCACAGATACTCATTACAGAAGCGCGAAAGGGCAAATGCTGTACTGGACAGCCCGGGAGCCCCACGCTTGGGACTCACTTATGAAGCCTGTGTGTTCAGTACAGTGAAACCGTGGTATCTGATGGCTTCAAGGAATGTCCCATATATAAGCATATTTTTAAAATATCACAACTGTGATTTTTTTCCCATGGAAATATTTCTGACTTGTTTTGTGGATTTCTCTGCCACCTTAACTGAATCATGACGAAGAGATTAAATTGTGTTTAGCTGTATAAATGTAATTATGCATCAGTGCTGTGCAGACAGCTGGACACATCTGACGTAAGACTGAAGTCGAATGAGCCCAACATTTCTTGGAGTTTTAAAAAAAAAGTTCCTGATGTCACTCAGCTTTTTGGAATTTTTACATGTGTGGCACCTGCAGTAAAGAAGGCCCCTTTAAAGATGATCTCTTCAATGACTCATTTCTTAAGTGAATCCTCATTTTAACTTAATCGTAAATTAGGATTCTAGAGTGGATTATGGGCAGCAGTGGACACCAGTGTGCCAGGCCGGCCTGCGGTGGGTAATGACCCAGACTGAAAGCTGTCTGTCTGTTGGCATCTATTTTATTTATTCTAAGTTTGTTTGTTATTCAGGCTTAAAGAAAGAATACCCTTCACACTTTTCTTAAGTTACGGTGAGCTTTTTGTAGACTGTTTTCTTTAAAGCCTATGGATTCTGAAGAAAAAACATGACCAGTTAGGGAACCTAGCTCTAGACCCCGCTCAGGAAGGAGTTGGCTTCAGGTTTATTGCTTAGTTTCTCTGGTCCTCAGTTTCTTTGTCCCTAGAATGGTTCTGGAATAAATGATTTCCCAGCGCACTTGAAATTATTTTCTCTAATCTTTCTTCATAGTTTTTAAAAATAGCTTTCTAGAAAATATACAAATTGCAGCTCGAAGCTGTAATGAAAAATAAAAGTAGTTTCTCACTCATTTAATGAGTAGCTTACTCATTAAATCTTTCTTCTACAAAGAGATCGTATTCAGATTTACCCTCCAGGAGGTAAGTAAAACCAGGGAGGTCACATCAGCGTTGGCAGCCAAGTGGAAAGAGGATTCCTAGACAGTAACTTTGCTTCCTTAGGGTGAGTTTACAGTTGCCCCAAAATAGAACTGCTTTAAGCCAGCCAGAGAAGCCTCTGCTCTGACATGATCTTTTTCTGAAAACCGACCAGGAAAATATATGTATTTTAAGTATCTCAAGGGTCAGTTTGTGGTCCCTAACCAGCATCAGTGGCTTGTGGGTCACACTGTGGATAATAAGCACCAGTCTCAGTGTTCTGGTTTGGTTGGGGCATCTTCTTCTGTTCCTTTGTTTTAGAAGTTGTCACTTTGGTAGAGTGAAGGTTTCTGCCCAGCTGTCGTTAATAAGCCTTACTGTCGTAGAGGCTGTGGTGCCCTCTGTCTTGTACTTGCCCTTTCACAGTCGTTTGCAGAAGCGTTCAGGACTGTCCTAGATGTTAGCGTTATTGTTAACTTTTGTGGTGCTTTCTGGTCATGCCGTTGACCACTTGGTACTGGCACACTCCCTTTTCTGCTTGCCGAAATTGCGCGGGTTTTTCTCGGTTGCTGGCCCTCTCTGCTGGCCTGTTGGTTCCCCACTTAGCTTTGGAGTGGCGTGTGTACTGCATACTAATCACTCCTGTTTGAGGACTGTACAGAGATGGTAGTTTGCAGCCTGTGCATGTTCGGAGGGTGAATAGAGCCAACGTCAATGGTTTTGTCTCTTTCTCCACCCTTCCCCACGCCTGCTGCAGACTTGTTCTAGCTTAACTGACTCTTTTCTGAAAGTGCCTCTTTTGCGTGGCCCCCTTTGCGTCACCCTTTCTGATGCCTGCGCGATTTCTAACTCTTGTCAGTTTTGCTCTTTGCCTAGCTTAGCTAGTCGTTGTTTTTCTCCTCCTCCTCCTTCTTTCTCACCGTTTGATGCTCTCCAGGTGGTGTCCCCTTACCCTGTACGCCTTTGCTTTTGCATCTGCCGCCTTGAATCTTTGTGTACTCTTGGCTCTTTCACGTGTTCCATGCAAATGCCAGATACCTTGGGTTTATTGTGTTACATATTCACAGTTTCCTTAATTATGTAGATAATTATGTTTTGGAATCCCAAAGGCTTCTTACAATAGCCTGTTAAATGAACCATACAGTGAACTATTTTGTGAATTATTAAGACTTCTCATCCTTAATTATTATCACTACCTACATCACCGTTACCACCTCATCATCGTTATCTTCATCATCATCTGACTTTCTCGTTTCATCTCCATGACTAGCATTTTCTTCTGCTTTTTGCACATGCACATCTCCCTTTTTGGTCCCCCTCCCTCCATTTTTTGCCTAATCAGTTCCTACTTGTCCTTCATTCATCAGTATGAGCATATAATGGGGCTTATATATAACTATTGAAAGAATGAATCACCAGTTACCCCCTGCTCTCTAATATACAGTAAGCTCCTTGAGAGCAGGAAACACGTTTTAGTTCTTATAGTTTTACTATATAACAAAAACTTAGCAAGAGATAGGGAAATCGTCACTTCAGTGGCTGCATTTCAGATGAGGCGAATACTAAACCTTTATGTATTGGGTATTAGGTTGGGTTCAGAAGGTACTGTGTCGAAGGGGAGGAAAAATATCTTTCCTTCTACCCTTCTGAGGTTCTCAGCTGTGGTCCCTGTAACAAAAGGCAGATTAATAAGAGAAAAGCATACAAATGTATTTAATAAAAGTTTTAACATGACACAGGAGCCTTCATGAGGAAATGAAGACCCAGAGCAGTGTTAAATCTGAGCCTTTTTTGCTAGCTTTGATGGAGAGTGAAAAGGTGTGGGGAAGTGTGACAGGCAAAGGGTGTGAGTTCAGAGTAGTAAACCGAGGAAACTTTCCCAGGCCTGTTTGTTCACATTCCTCTTGGCGTTCCAGCCTTCTGGGTACAGATGCTCCTTTCTCCGGGTATGGGGAGGGCACCTCTCATGAGGCTCTGATGACCTGCTTCAGGAGGAGATCAGAGTCCTTCCTGCACAAAACCATTTCTCAAATGATTTCAGTTGAAAATATTGAATATGCCAAGGTGCTGTGTTTTGGGGGAGCATGTACTGAACCCCATCAATGTTAAGGTGAAATCATAGTGAAAGCAAAATCAATAAATACTTTTGGGAACTTATTCTTTTGTGGAAATGGATGTGAGAAATAGTACCTTGCATTTGGGATATTAATATTACCCTTCCTTCTACACACACACATACACACACACACACACACACACACATTCACACACACACATTCAGACACTTAAGATATTATTACAAAGACTAAAGAAAATGAATGTGTCTAGGATTGATTTAGTGTTCGGCCTAGTCTTTATGATTCTTACTTTACATATTAAGATACTTTACATATTACATTGTGTTAGATTCTGTCTCATTTCCTCCAAGGGCATCATCACCTGCTTCTTGCTGTCCTTTCTAGACATGATGTGTTAAAGTATAAGACTTTGCCACTCTTCCTCTCTTAGGAGTCTGAGAAGATCATTGCTGAGTTGAATGAAACCTGGGAAGAGAAGCTGCGTAAAACAGAGGCCATCAGAATGGAGAGGTCAGGAGGTTCATCTGGGAATGTTTCTAAATTTTCGAGAGAATTTGGATTACTTCTGTAGTGAGAAGGGATAAAACAGAAGTTAAAAACAAAGAACCTTTCTTCCCAAAACAAAACAGAACAAAACAAAACATAAACTTGGCTGGGGACTTATGGCTAAATTAACACTTGGAAGTGAAATTCACATATTTAAATGCTCCCTAGGGAGTCATGGTGCTTCAGTAGTTACCATTTTGCGTGTTGATAGGGATCCATATAAAAATGGAAGATAATCGAGGGATAGTGTTTTTAATTTACAAAAAGACTGCCTTTGATAAAGGCCCAAATAAAAAAAAATAGCCGTTCTGATTATTGTTTTTCAGAGTTTTCCAGATCCTCCTTTTAAAATGCTTTGGTAAGAAATGAAGTAGTTTGAGTTATAAACTTTTAAAATCCCTGTTCTATCTCATCCTCAAAATTCTCTACCCTGAAGGTGAACATAACCCAAAATTATACTTTGCTGTTGGAATAAATATATATTTTTTAAATGTCAGTTTCTGTCCTCTTCATAGAAATGAGGCAGAAGTGAGTTCTAAAGTATTGATACAGTAAATATATCAAACAATTAGGATTTTTTCTTATTATAGAGATTTTAGGCTAGAATCGTTGAACCAGTATGATGCTGGGCATGGGAACATAACATTTGAGAAAATCACATGTATGGATAATACTCCCTGTTATTAAATTTACTTTCTGATTGCTTTCTTAGATTTTGAAGAAATGGTTCTGTGAGTTATATGCATAGCCTTAATGAATATCTTTTTCTTCCTTTTTTATATTAATAGACATATTATTTTTGAATTATTATCTACCTCCAAAGTCAGATGAGACAAAGTTCTCATTTGGGTGAATATAACTTTACCTAACATAGGAACATAATTTATTTTGAGTGTACTATTTCTCTTAAAAATAATTCTCTTCATGATGGGATAAGCAGATTCTTTCACATACATATTACTAACTTTCAACATGGACGATTGTTTTGCTTTGCATGCTTTATTTTTCAGTCCACATTAGACTGATTTAATTGCCATTCCAGTCTTAGTGTTCCCATGCGATCTTTGTTTTTTCCAGAGAGGCCTTGTTGGCTGAGATGGGCGTTGCCATCCGGGAAGATGGAGGAACCCTGGGCGTTTTCTCACCTAAAAAGGTAGGAAACGATTTTGTGAAACTCAACCAAACAGAAACACTTTTTGTCTAGTCGCCGAGAATTTCACGTCTTTGTGGGTTGGCCCCTCCTTCCCCTCCTTTTTTTTTAATCTTGAGATTTGGATCAATGTCAGATATTTCTGATTTCATCTTACAGTCCAAGGGCAGCCTCCTTCTAAAATGCTTATCACGTTTATTGTTTACAAAGTAGAACCCACGGCAGTCAAACTAACTTTTAGTCACGATTCAGTGTGTGACGTCATCTTCGTTGCTGGCTTTCTCGTAACGGCCGGCCTCACCTAGCATGCCTTGCTTCCGCTCGGCTCCTCTATCTGTATAGATTTCCCCACAGATGCCAGCAACCCTGACTTATAACTCTTTGGAAGCAATTTCAGCCGTTCAGGTTTGTGTAGAAAAATATCACGTCCCTTTGCTTCTACAATATGTGTTCTAGACACCATTGTACTGAGCAAAGCAATTCCTGTCCCCGCCTTTAGCCTCTGCTCCTTTCCCAGTTAAAAACCTCCAGTAGTTACCTTCCATTTACATAAGCATAGTTGTGAAGTAGTAACCTGTTAGCTAATTACAGTAGTAAAGCTTGGTTGTGTTGTATTTTACTAAGTTGCTTCTTAGCTACTGTTAGATATTGGAAAATTATTATCAAATGATTATTTTGTGTGCTTGCTTATATGATAATAGAAAATATACTGACGTACAAAGCATATATTTCATACCAGTAATATATGGTCCTTCATTTCAAATGACTTCAGATTAGGTGTTGGAGATGTAAACATCTTCATGTGAGAGTCTGTTGATCTCTCCAGGTTAGCATAGAACGGGTGGGGAGTTTTCATTTGGTTCTTTTGTTCTATGTGATATATGGCATATTACCATGCTTTTTGCTAGGATTCTTTTGATTAGGTTTTTCTATCAAGGCTACATAATTTTTAAACAAATTCCGATGTGTTACTTTCAACAAAGAAGATTGATTTAAAGAAATTTTACGTACATATTGTAGAACTGGAATAATAATAAAAGTATTTTATATGTTTATATTGCTAAAGGTCAGTGTCTTTTACAGTTTAATAGTTTTTCCTTCAGTAAGACATTATTTATTCAGATATATTACTTAATGATTGTTATGTTAAGGACTGTAGGGATCATTTTTATAACGTCTTGTAAAAATATGGCATTTAACACAAATCATAAATAACCTGAATAGATTTTGTGATATAAACAGCACAGAAATTCCAAGTGACATCTCTGTTTCCAAGCCTTTTCTTTGATTTTACTCATCTTGCTTTAACGTTCTAAACTATTTCGAGAAGGAAAAGGACACGCACCACTGACCACATCCGGATTCAGTTTTAGAACCCGTTTCGGACGGTGGTGGTAATCATCGCACAGTGTGTACATATATTAAATTTATACATCGTATACCTTTTAAAAATCACATTGTTTGACCTAAATAAATACCATTTTCGTCAGTCATACTCCAGTAAAACTGAGGGGGAAATACTCTTAAGGCAAGGAAAGAAAAGAACCTGTCGTAGAGATTCCTTTCTTCTTAGGCCAGTGTCAGGATGGGCTCTAAAGGATGCTGCCCAGAGAAGCCTGAGACTTTCTCACACCAGCGAAGCTCTCAAACTGCAGAGGCAGGTGCTGGTTGAGAAGACGTAGAGGTTTTTCTAATTTCTTTTTAATCATCTTTTGCATTCTCTTTTCTTAACCCTCTCATCTGACTCTTCTTTCATTTTTCTGCATTTGCTGACATGATCTTGAGTAGATTTTGACCCCAAGACCATGTGACTTATTTTTGGATTCCAGTGGGGTATTTTCACCAAAGAAGGTTGGTTTTTAAAAGATTTTAGAAATATTAGAGTTAGATGAAGATTTTAATAAGATGCATATATTATTGAATGTCAGTAATTTTAATTTCTTAAGGTAAAGACTAATAAAGGCAATAACGGGACCATTGAAGAACCGATAAAAATTACAGAGGGAGACGATTGGGACGTGGGGACATTTTTATAAAGTAAATGAAAAATTAAATATTTGTTGAGATTGTAGGGGAGGAAAAATAATTTTCTCTCTACCCTTCTCAGTTCTTGGCTGAGAGCCCTGTAATAAAAGATAGATTAACAATAGAAAAACAAAGAGAAGTTTATTAACATGTGTACCCCGTATACATGGGAGATACCCCAGGGCGGGAGGGCGGCAGGAAAATGAGGAACTCCCTGAGGTGGCTTGGAATCCAGATTAGATATTATTTTAATAGGGAAATGGGTGGGGGGAGGGAGGCCTCTCAGGGGAGAGCACGTGGTTTCTAGGGAAGGTGACTGGGGCCTTAAAAGAGTAGGTGGGAGATGTGATAGTTTGTCTGGGTGTGGTGGCAGCTTTGGTCTTCTCTTCTGTGAGAAGAGCCAGTCTGGTTGTGAAACTCCTGGGAGAGATTTAGGACCATGAAACACCTTTTGGAAGATCTGTCTTTGGACAGATAAAGGGAGGTCAGAGAAAGCCTCCCCCTGCATCAGCTGTTGATTTCAAGTGCCTACAACTTGTGGCATATTTTGGGGTAGCATATTCTGCTACCCTTCAAGATTTTTGTCCAAGTATTTGCAGAAATTACGATTCACTCATCTAGATCTTTGTCTTAATTTTTCTTGCGTGTTCCGCCAGCTTTGACTTTATCAATAATTGATCTTGTTTTTTATCCCAGAAATCATGTTCATAGATAGAATGCACTAGTGTGGTTTGTGAGGGCCTGAAGAGAGTGTTTCCTTTTTATTATAGAATTGCAAGTAGGAATAAAAGAAGTCCCTTGTCTAGCCCCTGTGGGTAATCTAAGAAGCCATCAGTCTCCTCTAGGTCCCTGTTACTGTCACAGCCCTTTCAGTGGTGCTTGCTCTGAATTGATGATCTAACCTTTTTTCCAGACCCCACATCTCGTTAACCTCAATGAGGACCCACTAATGTCGGAATGCCTGCTTTATTACATCAAGGATGGACTTACAAGGTATATCTGTTTCTTTTGGTCACATTCTATCTGGTTTTCTATTCTCTTAGATGATTTAATAACTAAAGGAAAGTCGTTTGTTGAAAAATTTGTTGTAATGATTTTGCTGTTTTTCTCATCTGAAATAATTACAAACTATCCTCTTTACTCTTCCTAAATTATGTATATTAGCCAGCCGAACCAGTAAGTGTGTAGTTTTCCCCTACGAGACCCTAAGTAAAAATTTTTTCCTTCGGACATCTTACATGAATTCATTAGGGAGATTAGTTCACACGTATCTTTTTATAATGCCATGTGAGTTCCATCAGTGGATCATTGTTCTTCGTTTCTTCTGTTGGGAGGTTGACCATATAAGAAAAATTAGAATTTGTGGTCGAGAGCCTTTGATTAAAAAAAGATGATACCTTTTTTGTAGGTACCAAAGAATATTCTTTGGGAGAAAGAGGTTCATTGTTCATAGTACTTTTTGTGTCTGAATTCCCCTGGGAAACCCTCTCCGTTGTGTTCAGGGTCGGCCAGGCGGATGCCGAGAGGCGCCAGGACATCGTGCTGAGTGGGGCGCACATTAAAGAAGAGCATTGTGTCTTCCGGAGCGAGAGGAGCGACAGCGGGGATGGTGAGGGCTCTTGGCTCAGCTTATCCAGCAGCCTTTCATTCCATGTGGCGAGAAATCCACAGGACTCGGTATTCCCTGTCTCTTTCAGTGATGCTTTCTTACACAGTCTAATATTTGAAACTGGAGAAACCTGGGCTGCTTCTGAATGCAGGGACCGACATGGCTACTTTACATGAAAATAGCCAGGACAAAAGGAGCCCTTTTGTTACTGCCAAGAACAGAGCAGGACATAGGCAATTAGGCTTGGTCTTGAATGTTAATTGTTTGATAGACAAGTAAAAAGGGAACAAATATTCTGGGTAGGAAGAGATTTGAAGGACCTCTAACCTTAACTGAGTAGAATTTTTTAGCTAAAATAGAAGAGAAAGTCAATCTTGATTTTTGTCCAGGTTATTAACAAAACAAGAACATAACAACATTCTGATCATATTTTTGTGCTATATAATTCCTTCCTTAATCAGAATGTTAGCTTTGATATTGTTTTTGGTTATGACCTACATGTCATACTGAACATTCTGATGGTTTTCAGTTTTATGGACTGAACTGTCAGATATCACTGAAACTGACATTTCATATCTTTTTCTGAGATTTGTCCAATTTTTTAAAATGTTTCTGTCTTAACCACAGCCCTGATTATGGTACCCTAAAATAAACTATTATGTAGATGCTCGGCCACTCGGTTACAGGAATCTATTCTACCTACCCCGAATCCTCACAGTCATCTACTTTCTGTTATTTTATTCCAGTGGTTTGTGATGCTAATATTAGTTTACCTCTCTTCTTAGTTATCGTGACGCTAGAGCCCTGTGAACGCTCAGAAACCTACGTAAATGGCAAGAGGGTGGCCCAGCCTGTTCAGCTGCGTTCAGGTGAGACTGGGAGAGGTGTTGGATTCAGCAGAGATGACATGGCTTGTGTGAGCAGCTCTGTAATTTCTGAATTTTTGTTTAAAGGCCAGAGTGATAGCATTAGGGTTTATGTTTTCGTAAAACTCCAAATGCTATCTTTTTGCATTAGAGAAAGTGAGGTCATTAACATAGATACTGTACATTTCAAAAAATGGCTTCTTTACCCTGTTTCTGTTTTGTGCCAGGAAACCGTATCATCATGGGTAAAAACCACGTGTTTCGTTTTAACCACCCCGAGCAAGCACGGGCTGAGCGGGAGAAGACACCCTCTGCCGAGACCCCCTCTGAGCCTGTGGACTGGACGTTTGCCCAGAGAGAGCTTCTGGAAAAACAGGGGATTGATATGAAACAGGAGATGGAGAAAAGGTAACGTACAGATACGACGTGGCTCACGTGACTGTCACTTCTTTTAAATGTAACCGTTTATGAAACAGCTCAGTGATCTCATCGTGTATTCTTTTCCTTTTGTTTTTCCTGTTCTTCTAGGTTACAGGAAATGGAGATCCTGTACAAAAAGGAGAAAGAGGAAGCAGACCTTCTCCTGGAGCAGCAGAGACTGGTAGGAGTCCGTCCTGAATCTTCTGTTAGGGAACGGGCAGCTTGCTCTCTTACCTTCCCTGTCCCATGGATGAGCACGCGCCCACATGGCTTGCTCAGCTCTCATTGATACCGAACACTATTCTCTCACTTCCTTAATGGAGAATGAACTCCTGGTACCTTAGCCTGAAAACCTGTCCACAAAGGTACACTTTTGTGCCTTTTATGTCTTAAAGTCAAATCGTTACTTCTGTCAAAACCAAGTGCTTTTGGAGGAAATATGGGAGCTTCTCTGGTAGGCTTTGCCTCTTGATAGTAATTTTTGAGTATGCATAGTGGTGGTTCTTTTAATAATAATTACTCTGCATATCGAATTTGGTGGGTGTTTGCCTTGGTTTTGTTTCTGATCACCCAATAGTACTAATTCTCTGCTCGTGGGCTGACCTGAGGGATTGTTCTCGTGCTGGGCAGACTTTTACTTTTACTTTTTTTTTTTTTTTTAGTTAAACTTTGTCTAAAAGTGTTGCTGCACAGATGCATGTGTTAATCCTTTTCTGTTCCCCTGCATGGAGTCTGAATCCTCTGTAAGGGTCTCCGTGGCATGTGGGTGACAGTGGAAGCAGGGCCATACAGCCAAGTCAGATAGGGGCGGGAAGCCTGGTTTCTCTGGGTTGAGAAAGGGTTAGGGTGAGCAGCTGAAAAGCTGATTTAAGGGCGCAGCTTGTAATGCTAATGGCTTTAGCATTTTATGATGTTAATTGATTTTTAAAGTTTGATAGAGATGGAATCTCGTGAATGAATAAGCTGATCCATTAATTAGATTTTCATTTTTAAAGCCATCCAATTTTGGTTAACAAAGTCCCTG